AAAAACTGAAGGGTCTGGGTAATGCAGGAAGCTCAGGAATGCATGAGAGGGGAGGAAGCTGAGAAAGTACCAGTCATACGGGATCAGGTGTTAAGTCTGAAGTAAAGGGAAGGAGGAAGGAAGGGGCTGCAGGCACAGGCTTGTTTAGAATGGCAGACACAGAACCACCACCTCTTAAAGATGCCCACACTCTTATTCCCCAAGCCTGTGACTGTGCTAAGGTACCTGGTAAAAGGAACTTTGCAGCTGTGATTAAGCCAAGGATCTCAGATGAGGAGCCTGTCTTGGAATACCCAGGTAGGCCCGATGTAATGACAAGGCTTCTTACTTATAAAAAGGAAGGAGATCACAGAAGACAGAAGATGTTATGATGTTGGCTTTGAAGATGGCGGAAGGGCATCACAAGCCAAGAATGTAGGCAGCCTCTTTCTCGGCTGGAAAAGGCAAAGAAAAATATTCTCCCCTAGAGCCTCCAGAAGGTAAACAAGCAACCCTGCGGATCCATTTTAGAGCTTTGATCTCAGAACTGCAGAATAATTAGCTAAGTCACTAAGCTAATAGCAATTTTTACAGCAACATTAGGAAACATTTCATTTGCTTTATTCTTTAGGTAAGAGAGGTTTACGTATGTTTATATACTAAGGAAAGAACAGAAGCAAAGCTCTGAAGACAAAAGACAAACATTTTGTATTTTTGATGATCAAACTGGACAATAAATTTTGGGATAAAAATTTAGGTTTAATCTTACATCCGAGAAGTTCCTTCTGTGATCTCTGGCTGAACGCTGAATGGCTGAGGTTCACCAGGAAATGGGAAGAAATGGAATAAACAGAACTAATTTGTTCTAGAACTAGCCTTGGACAAGGAGCCCTTCTACTAACAGAAAGGGAGGAAGGGAAGGGTATTTATGCTGACAAGTGCAAAACGAACTGAGGAAGTGGTAGTTCAGTCGCTCAGTCATGTGCAGCTTTTGCAACCTCATGGACTGTAGCCCACAGACTCCTCTGCCCATGGGATTTCCCAGGCAAGAGTACTGGGATGGGTTGTCATTTCCTCCTCCAGAATTAGGGAAAGTAACCTACTAATCAGCACTTGTCTCCTAAGATTGGAGTTATTATTGACTGAGTAACTACTATGTGCAAAGCATCAAGTACTTGCATAAATTTTCTTTCTCAAAAAGTTGCAAGACAAAAATTATGCACACTTGACTAGGGGGAAAGTGCCAAAACTCCTAGGATTCAGATGAAAACCTGTATGACTCAAAACACTACTTTGAGAAATCTGGTAGACACTACCATAACCTGGTGATTAAGTACCAGTACCAGTAATTAAGTACCAGTAATAAGATGTATCAAAATCAGGTACCCCTTGATATGATGTACTGAAAAGGACATTTCACCTCCATGGTATTCCTTTACCCAATTATGCAGCAGCACTTTTATCAAATTACAAGAAAACAATGTGAGGGATATTTTACAAATCAACTGACAAGTACTCTTCAAAGTCTCAAGGTAATGAAAGACAAGAAAAAACAGAGGAACTATTACAGACTGAGAGAGAACCAAAACGCAACAAAACAATGTGGAATCCTTGACTAGATCCTGGACCAGAAAAAAAAAGAAAAAGCATTAGGTGTTAAAACAAGTGAACTCAGAATAAAACCTATAATTTAGTTAACAGCACTGTACCAATGTTAACCTCTTAGCTCTGATCACTGTATCATGAACTCAAAAAGTTAAAAAAAAAAAAAAACCCTCTGATTCTACAGGAGAAAGTCACTTATCTATGAGTCTAGCTTTCAGTCTATTCAAGGTTAACTTTATGGAGCAGCAGAGCCTACGTTTAGGTTCTCTCTGGTGGTTAACAATAGTACATATGGTATTCCTGAATTCCCTGGCATTCTGGTCTGACTCCTGTCCTAGACTGGTGCTTGAACACTTGACCTCTGACTCCTGCCTTGGTCCTATCCACACATTCTGACTATGCAATCTAATCCCTGATTCCAAACTCCAGAATAATATGCTTGTTTGGAGAGTATCTAAGGAAGGACAAATAGGTAAATACAAAGGATGCAGTGTAAAGTCAGCAAAGTAACCTCAGAAGAGTGTATTAATGATCATCTTCTCTCTTACACACATTCACTCCTCCTCACATTTGCAAACATATCTTCATAAAATATAAACATGAAGGGGAATCTCAATAAGGAGCTGCTGCTGCTAAGTCACTTCAGTCGTGTCCAGCGCTGTGTGACCCCAAAGACTGCAGCCCACCAGGCTCCGCTGTCCCTGGGATTCTCCAGGCAAGAATACTGGAGTGTGTTGCCATTGCCTTCTCCTCAATAAAGAGCTGCTGCTGCGTCACTTCAGTCGTGTCCAACTCTGAACCCCATAGACAACAGCCCACCAGGCTCCCCCGTCCCTGGGATTCTCCAGGCAAGAACACTGGAGTGGGTTGCCATTTCCTTCTCCAATGCATGAAAGTGAAAAATGAAAGTGAAGTCGCTCAGTGTGTCCAACTCTTAGCGACCCCATGGACTGCAGCCTACCAGGCTCCTCCGTCCATGGGATTCTCCAGGCAAGAGTACTTGAGTCAGGTGCCATTGCCTTCTCCGAAGGAGTAGTATAGCCTAAAACATAAAAACTACAGAGCAATATATCATAAAGCCACAAAATTGGATATATTTTTACAATCAGCTTGCTCATTTCCCATTTGTTCTGGCAAATGGACTACCTGCTAGTATTGTTTACTTATGGATTTGCAAAGGAGTAATCAAACTACATACAATACTTTACAAATATTTACTCAGCCATTATTATGAACGAGGCATCAACACGGTACTTAAAAGATGGTATAACTCATTTATTTTTAAGTTCTCTGACAGTTAGCTCTATCAAACTTTGAGAGATTTTGTTCCTTCATATTAGGCCATGATGTAGATTAATGAGGTCCAATAAAAAATACAGTGCAAGCCATATATACAAGGCTACATTTTCTAGTAACTGCATTTTAAAAAATGAAAATAAAACATGAAACATCATGTAATCAAACTGGAAAAAAAAAAAAGACTGATATTTACCTTTTTCCTTCCTGTGTAATAAATCTTCAAAATCTACTTTGTATTATACACTTTGCACGCATGTGTGCTCCGTGGTGTCTAACTCTTTTGCAACCCCATCAACTACAGCTCCCGGGCTCCTCTGTCCATGGGATTTCCCAGGCAAGAGTACTAGAGTGGGAGGTTATTTCCTTCTTAAGGGATCTCCCCCACCCAAAGATTGAACAGGTGTCTCCTGCATGGGCAGGCAGATTCTTTACCACTGAGCCACTGATTCTTTACCACTGTTGGGAAGCCCTATAGCATCTCAAGTCCAACTAGCCACATTTCAAATGCTCAACAGTCATATGCAGCTATCACCACCCTATTGGACAACACAGATCTTGATACTACTATTTATTAAAGAAAATAAACTGAGTTATAGGGTTAAATTTCAATTGGCTTTATTAATCAAATCCAATCCAATTTTCTTTTCTACTCAGCAATCAATACAGTCTCTGTTCTCTGAACTCTGTACTTTCTTTAATCATCCCAAAGATTATTACATTACAACTCCTGAGAGAAGCAAACACAAAGAATAATGAATTAAATTGAAAATTTCTTTGGAGTGAAAGGTTTTTGAGTGTTTTTAGTTAAAAGGACACATGCTGCTACTGTGGTCTCCTTAGAAAAATAAAATATATTTTTTAAAAACCAGACACAGAGAAAAACAAGGGACCATCTATTATGAATGATCCTCCAGGCTTAGTAGAGGCTGCAATCAGACCAGGCTATGTCGAAAAGAAATTAAATCAGTCTACACACCCAACACATCTTTGATTCTTTAAAGTTGATCATATCACTTAAAAGATTCACATCCATTTAAGACTCAATAATGGGAGAATTCAAAAGTTTCATTTAAAGCAAATTTCCAAATACAGACATGTATTTTTCCTTATACGTATACCTTTTCATTCTTTAAAGAATAGTTCATCCTTACAGCAAATACTTATTTGAAATGTTAATGATTTAAAAAAACACAAAACTTTTGCTATAAATTACCCTTGGCTTAATTCTAAAGTAGAATTATTTTAAAAACAACATTATTTGTAAAGACAAACTTAAGGTTTCTTTATAGGATGAGTAGCTCAATTTTATTTATTTATTTTATTTATATTTTTTTTTTCCAAGTAGCTCAATTTTAAAAACATAAGTTTCACTGACGTTTTCCTAGCACAGTGCCTGGCACGTGGTATTTTCTCAATAAATGAATGAATACCAAGTAGCGGGCTCTAAATATTAATATATTTAACATTTAAAACGAAATGTTAAAAAGTGGACTTTTTCAACTAAAGGGCTTAACTAGATCTCATGTAAAAACTGAAGCTACACTACAGTTAAGAACACCTTCCATCAGTTATTATCATTTAATTCAACACTCCTAGAGCACAGATATTATCACTCTCTTTTAATACGAGGAGGGTAGAGCCAAAAGTGGGAAGTCATATAATTAAGTAGTGGAGAAAGATTTCAAGTCCAAGTCCTCAAACAAAACAGTGTGTGTAGTGGGAAGGTGTTTGTGGATGTTATGAAAAACATCTCATAATGCTCTATTTAAAAAAAAAAAAAAATCCCATTACAAAAGTTTCAGAGGAAAAATACACAACGGATAGTCTCCAATTCCAGACACACACACACACAAAACCCATAACTTTTTAAGAAATTGGGACCCATTTAAATTATAACAACAATAAGTATTACGGATTAGAACTTAGCTGCAACTAAACAGAAAGGCTACGTCCTCCTATCGCTCCCTGAGTAGATAAATCAAAATGGGGACGAAAGCATCCCTAGCGGCCTGTGAGAGACTCGAGCTGGAGGCCGAGAGGAGAGGCGGCGCCCCTTGCTTGGGGCGCAGCTGGCCCCCTCCCCCAGGAAGGAACCTGGCCAACTGGCTCCAGCCTACCTGACGGGCTCCCGCCACCGCTTGAACCAGTTGCAGCAATTGGCCATCAGACTGAACATCCCAGGCCGCTCCTCCCGCCGCCTCCCATCCGAGCCCGGAGCGGAGATGGGCCGCTAGTCCTCCCGGGCCGAGTCCTCGGGGACGCCGCCGCAGCTCCGAGGAGGCCCAGAAGAGAATGGGCCTGGAGCAGAGGCCGGGAGACGGGTGAGGGCGGTCACTGTCAGAACCAAGCCCAACAACCGCGCCTGCAGGCGAGCGGAAAACCTAGCTCCTCGCCCACGCAGTGGGGACTAAAGGCGCAGCTCCACAAACCCCAGCAGGGTTATGCAGCCGCCAGAGAAAACCCCCGCGTCAACGTGCTGACGTTTCCCCAGGCGCGGAAGGCCCGCCCCAAGCACCGCCCTTACACTTCTCCAATCACCGTTGGACCGCCCGTCGCGAGGCGCTCTCAGTGGCTGAAGAGGCCCATCTCCCCGCCCCCACCGGGGGCGGAGAAGGGGGCGTGACTTGGGGAGGGGGAGGGGAGGTCGTTCTCGTAGCTAGGCAACGGAAGCGTCCAGAGATGAGTTGAGGGATTTCCGACAGTTCTTAGGCTAAGAGGGATCTGTACACTTATCCGAACTGTGTGATCGTGCTGTCCCTGGTCTGTCTCCAATCCCAACTGAGATCCCGAGACCTCAGGTCTTGCGCGTGTTTTGTTTTCTTAAAGCAAGGAGTGGATCCTGTGGGATGCCAGCGGACACTGGCTGCTCAACTACAGAAAAAATACACTGAGACAATCAAGTTAAGAATGAGGGGGAAACTCGTTCGCTAACCATCCAATAGTTTAGATGAGAGTGACGTTTTAGTCTGTTGTTGTTCAGTCGTTCAGTCGTGTCCGACTCTTTGCGACCCCGTGGATTGTAACAAGCCAGGCTTCCCTGTCCTTCACCATCTCCCGAAGTTTGCTCAAACTCACGTACATTTTTGCTCAACTCAATTGCCATTGAGTTGGTCTTTTCCAATGAGTCGGCTCTTCGCATCAGGTGGCCAAAGTCTTGAAACTTCAGCTTTAGCATCAGTCCTTCCAATTAATATTCAGGGTTGATTTCCTTTAGGAATTGTTTATTGTTACATAGAATGTGAAGTGGAATTGTATCATATATATTGTGTAGAAGTTATGCTTACGAAATAATACGTTCATTTTAGAAAGTATGAAAAAGGAAAAAGATTAAGAAAATAAGATCTCATACTCACCATTTAAAGGTAACCAGTATTAAATTTTGATGTATGTAATTTCAGGATTCTTAGAGACATAGATTGCTAGCTATTTAGTTTCTGCAAGATGGAGATCATGTCGTTGTTGTTGTTGTTCAGTTGCTTAGTCATGTCTGACTCTTTTCGACCCATGGATTACAGGACTCCTGACTTCCCTGGTCTTCACTATCTTCCGGAGTTTGTTCAAACTCATGTCCATTGATTCGGTGATGCCATCCAAACATCTCATCCTCTGTCGTCCCCTTCTCCTCCTGCCTTCAATCTTTCCCAGCATCAAGGTCTTTTCCAACAAGTCAGCTGTTCACATCAGGTGCCAAAGTATTGGAGCATCAGCTTCAGCATCAGTCATGCCAGTGAATATTCAGGGTTGATTCTCTTTAGGATTGATTGGTTTAAACTCCTGGCAGTTCAAGGGATTCTCAAGAGTCTTCTACAGCACCACAGTTCAAAAGCATCAATTCTTTGGGTCTCAGCTTTCTTTTTGGTCCAAATCTCACATCCATACATCACTACTGGAAAAACCACAGCTTTGACTAGACAGACCTTTCTCTGCAAAGTGACATCTCTGCTTTTTAATATGCTCTCTAGGTTTGTCATCGCTTTTCTTCCAAGGAGCAAGCATCTTTTAATTTCATGGCTGTGGTCACTGTCTGCAGTGATTTGGGAGTCCCCCAAAATAAGGTCTGTCAATGTTTCCATTGTTTCCCCATCTATTTGCCATGAAGTGATGGGCCTAGGTGCCATGATCTTAGTTTTTTGCGTGTTGAGTTTTAAACCAACTCTTTCACTCTCCTCTTTCACCTTCATCAACAGGCTACTGCTATTTTGTAACATGTTGTATTTTATTTAAAGAAATATGTAATGTCTGTTTTTCTATTATATTCCTTGGAAATAAGTAAATGGCAGTACATTTCTACAGAAAGAAATGAATGCATTATATGTAGGGATCCATGTGTCCATTCAGTCTCCAGTTACATATACTTATTTTCAAATTCTAGTAAAAGAGAGAGAGGGCCCTAGGAAGCCCAGTGTATCCCAAGAGAAAAATAATGGTTTGGGATTAAGGTAGCTCTAGTTTTAAAATTAACTTCTGTCTTTTACTCACTGATGAAACTCTAATCCCAACTCATATAGCTTACTGGCTCTGAACTCAAATAACCTCATCTGTGAAATGGAAATCACAATACCCACTTTGCAGGGCTGCTAAGATGATGAAATGAGAAAAATATACCTCAGGTGCAATTTCTAGCAAATAATAGCAGATTTCTGAAGTTGGTGATACCTGTCCCATAAATATTTACGATATATCTCCTCCTACCTCTGTCTCCAAACTGTTAGGGATCTTGTTCTCTGTTCGCATTGTCCTATCTTAACAACTTCAGTTTTCTTTCCAATTTCTCCACAGTGTATAACCTCTACTGGCTTTCCTAACTCAGCCAGCCATTCCTCATCAGTGCTCGGCTGCCTCTCCCCAGAGTGCCCTTCCAGATACTATAATACCTCTGTAACTACAATTAATAGTTAGCACTTCTAAAATTCTTTCCTTCCTTGGTTTCCACAATTATATACTATTTTGGTTATCTTGTGATCTCACTGATTATTCCTCTATCAGCTTCCTATTTATAGTCCTTAAAACCTGACTTTGTTCCTCTACTTTTTCTTAAAGAATATGTTCTCTTGGAGAATCTAATAACTACCACTTTTCTGTACCTGAAGAGCTATACTATACTTACTGTCCTTGAGCATTTCTGGAACTATATTTAACCCCTGCTCTACTTCATGTCAGGCTAATTCTGGTAGTGGTACATTACCAAACATTTCTGATACCAATATACTGTTGGTCAGTTAGTTAACTAGCTGACTGTTAGTTAACTAGCTGACTGGTCTGGTGGACATGTGCTGCTATTTCCAGTTCTCTTTTACTTTTACAAGCACATGAGATAAATACTCCCACCATCTTGAAGACATAAGACTTCCTTTGTTCAGTGAAATATGAGTGTGGTGGTAGAATTGCTTTTTGGTGAAGGCATTTAAGAGCTGGTCCACAGTTCTTCATGTTCTATCTTCTTGTGCAATGCTAACTATGGAAGCCTACTTTACCTCTGAAGTACTGCAACATTAAAAATAGCATGGAATGATGAGGCAACACATGGAAGACAACTGCCTAGAAAGTCCTGTAGTAGACTGCCTATAACCAAGAAATGAACACTTATTTTAAGCCACTGTAATTTTGTGGCTGTTTTGCCACAGAACAAACCTATTTGTTCTGAGTGAAAAAATAGTCTTGCTATCATCATTCTAATTAAGACTCTTGCTTCATTTTTCAGACACTGTTGAATTTGCATCCTAAATGTTACCTGGTTTATTTCTCTCCAGTTTTATTGAGATAAAATTAACAAATATAATTATAATATATGTGATGTGTACAATCTGATGAGTTCATGTATGTATACATTGTGAAATGATTTCCACAATCAATTACTTAATTAATTAACACATCCACAGCCTCACATTCCTTCTTTTTCTTTTTCTTTCTTCTTTCTTTTGGGGGAGGGGTGAGAGCTTGCTACTGTCTTAGCAAATTTCAAGTATACAATGCTGTAAGTTAGATACTCAAAACATAGTCATCCCATAACTGAAAGTTTATACCTTTATCAGCCTCTCCTCACTTCCCCACCTCTCAGCCCCTGAAACCACCATTTTACTCCCTACTTCAATGAATTTAACATTTTAAAAATTGTACATGTGAGTGATTACATGCAGCATTTGTCTTTCTCTGTCTGGTTAATTTCACTTCACATAATACCCATGTATAAATGTGAAATATACATAGATAGATAGATTTGGGCATAAATGTTACCAGACTTATACTGTTAAATTGAATTTAGGTGAATATTTATCTACCAGTCACTGTTCCAGGCATTAGGAAAATAGTTGTGAACAAGACATTTAAAAATTCCTGCCCTTGTGGTTGTATTTTACATTCTAGAAGCTGTGGACTAAAGAAAATGCACAACATGAGAGCTGCAAGTTAGCCAGTTGGGGCCAAATAAGGACTACAGTTGGGGAGAGAACATCTCAAATAACGCTAATAAAACTGTTCTAAAGAGGTAGCAGAAAGGTCAGTATTGTATGATTTTTGTCAAGGGGGGTATATGGAAGCAAGCACAAATTTTGGCAGAGGCTTACTGCTAGTGACACGGAGCATCTATCACTGTTAACAGTTTTAGTGGTTTTCTAGATATGAGAAGATGCAAGAATTTGGCATCATAAAATCTGAAAATATGTAACTTTCTGAAGGTCCATTCTGTCCATTTTTCCCAGGGCACAGAGTGCCTCATTCTTGATCTCCACCCTGAACTCTTTTCAGGGTGTGTTGAAGGTCAACAGCTTCAGTGGCTAGTGACTTCATCTTTGTAGAGGCAGATGACCAGTACCAACTTTTAGTAGACGTGGTAGAGAGTAATGAGGATGCAAATAGACGTAAGTGGGAAAATTTATTAGTAGTAGATTACATGGAGAAATGTAAAACTGGGTGAGGGAATGGGATTAGAACCAGGAAAAGGGATTAGTTTGCCAGTCAAATTTTGGATAAGATTTAATTATAAATTTAGAAGTGTACTGAAAACAAATTTTGACTCAGTGAAATTGACCAAATGCTAATCAATATCGAGCTGAAGGTGAAATCATCTTCACAGAGTGAATTCATGCAATAAATTAAAAACCTGAAAAATTTCTCCAAAGATGTATTATTAAATTTTAAAGCATTTCAGGGTATAATTTTTCAAAATTCAACATTACA